TCACCCCCCCTCTCTTTCTCCTCTGTCTGTCTGTCTGTCTGTCTGCCTGTATGTCTGTCTGTCTGTCTGTCTGTCTGTCTCTCTTTCTCTCTCTCTCTCTCTCTCTCTCTTTCTCCCCCAATCCCTCTCTCTGACTGAGTGAGTGAGTAGTGCAGTGACCATGTACAACTCCCAGAGCTCGCCAGCTCCCTTCACATAGTGCGCGGCACATCCTGGGCACGCGCATACATCCCACGCATGATTAACGAGCCCGCCTGCTTGTATGTGAGTGCTAGCAGCATACGAGTCTGTACTGACCGACCACCCTACAGAAGCTATGGGTTGTAGTCAGAGTTTTACGTCACTTTCAACAGAAATATATCATCATAGAAGTGATGAGAATTACGAACAGCAGCTTCTTCTAGGCGTACAGCATACAATGTATTTATGTTTTAGTAAGCCTTTTGCGGCTCTTGCAAAGCGTTACGGTCACACAAGTGCCGAAGATTAGACTAGAGGTTTTACTAGAAAGTAACATACAAAGAAAAAAAGGAGGAGGGATAAGGGTGGTAAATGTTTTAATGAAAAGAAAGAGGATATAATAAAGAATGATAAATGTTTAATTGAAAAAAAAAGAGCAAACCACAACAGAGCACCCGCCAAACACCCACACAGTTATATGTAACGAAGTAATGGTAACACTAACTGTTTAAGGTAACAAAACAGGCGTCTCTGATAATATGACAGTTACGCGCGTCGTTGTCATACGCCAAGGGACACGAGTTTGATTACTGAGTGCGGAGAATCTAGTATCCCGGTCTTTCTGCTGGGATGTTGTATCCCTCTCAGCCCAGGCTGGTCCTGACAGGCAGGGCCAAAGCCCGCCTCCTAAATGATTTCAAACTTTCTTGTTGGGGGTGTAGAAAACACTTATATTTTTAAAAATATTTTTAAAATGATACTTACAACTCGCTATTTTGTCTAAAACAGGCCCTCAGCATAATACAGCGCGTTTTTGTTTAAATAAATTAAATATTTTTGCGTCTCTTGCATGCAACACGATACCGTCGTATTGGTGCCTACGATTACAGGGTAACAAATACGAACAAGAAGGAGAGATAAAGAAAGACGATAGATGTTTGATAGAGAAGAAGGAGCAAACCACACCAGAGCACCCGCCAGCCACCCGCCAACAACGGTTGTAGAATGTACATGTTACCGGACAACTTGGGAAATACGTATATTGGAACTATTTGTTTGTGGTGTGTAACCCGATCTCTCCACCCCCCCCCC